TTGCCGAAGGCTGCCACATGTTTGACAGACCCCACTCTCAGAAAACCTAATTTAAAAGTCTCTTTTTAGAAGTCCCTCAAGGGACACACTCCAGAACAACATGTGATCTCCAGTACTTGTAAATGCAACAGTTATACCAGTATTTAAAAAGACAAGGCAATATCTCATCAATAATTTTTGTGTTAGAAAAACTGGTAGGCCCTACATGACATTTCCTTAAGTTCTAAAAACTTCAGAATGGAAGGACTGACCTGACTAGTTCAGGAGTTTAGGTAACAACTGATCAATTTTGAGTATTGAAAATGCTATCTCCACAATAGGTTTAGGTGTCAGAACAGCTATACAGATTTATCTGGAAAAGAAAAAAAAAAGTACTGTAATTAACAGTTTTACAGGCAGGTAAACTGCAGTACTTATAGATAATTTTTTTATATGGCTCTGCAGTTTATCCACATACCTGGTATTTGCCTCTCTGTGCACTATTTAGCTATTCAGTGTATCTGACATCTTGTCCTACGCAGTGTATGATGCAGATTACATTTGAGAGTACACATTGTCTACAAGTTTTTGCTTCTGAACAAAACTGTGAAATTGGAGAGGTGTTTTACTGTCGGTGGTTTTCAGAGTTAAAAACTTAGGAAAAGACTGCGTTTGCAGTCTTGAACCTTTTATTCCCAGAAACATTCCTGATACCACCCATTCTGAATAAATAGTTCCCTACACGTTGAACAGTTAAAAATGGTATCAACCCTCCACACTGTCCCAGTCATGCACCAGTATTCAAGCTGTAGTTTGTTTGAGAGGCAATGACGTTTTACATATGGTTTTGCCAAGTCAGTGTGTACAGAGAGACCAGGCAAACAGCTTTGTTCCATGACCTTCCCCATATGCTTCCCTAAAGGGGCTGTTTCAACATGGCTCTGCATGTTCTTTCTCAGTTTTAACTTATGAGTAAAGAAGAGGCTGAAATGTGCATCTGTGTCTTTCTTTTATCTTATTTAGGATGTAGCTGAACTTTGGTTTAGGACTAAAATTATTAGTTTTACTACTATTATTAACTGGCATTAATACTATTAATACATAAATGAGTCGAAAGTGTGACAGTCTATGAATTACCAACATTATGTTGGCATCAGTATGAAGTGTGTAAGTCCAAAATCCAAATATGCCAATTATATATCTCTCTGCCTGTGAACTTGTAAATTACATATTGCTCATTCAGATTGGACCAGTCATTTATGGATATCTGGTGACATTGGCAAAAGAAATAGCTCTGCTTTCTTGAAGAGGCTACCCAGGAAAAAGGCTTTATTAGCTATTATACCTGTCATCCTCTATTAATGCTATTTTATACACCAAGATCAGCACCTGTAAAAACCAGAAAAGGTGGAGGAACTTTTCCCTTATTAAGAATATATCTCATTCAGCAAGCTGGATGAAAGCAGGAAACTTCTGATGCTTTGTGCTACAGACTATTGGCCCTGATATGAATGAACATGTCAGTAACTGGCTGAATTTTTAGAGTCTTCAACAGGTTAACTAATGTAAAAATGCTTTAAATTTCCTTTGATTCGTTGACTGTCCTGCCTTCCTCTGTTCCTGCTCAGCTGCTACTAAAGAGTTCACCATTCATACACTCCACTCAGAAAGTACTAAGAAAAGAAATGAAAAAACACAGAGAGAAAAGAGATTTCAAATAACCAGAAGATTTAAAAAGGTTGGTGTTTCTGATTTTTACAAGTATCTAACAAATGGAAGTTCCATTTTAGTTCGCTCTTAAATAAGAATTTGATACTAAGTGAAAATCACTTTAGCAAATGAAACAAATATAAATTGAGCTCAACTGCACTCTCACTAACATTAAAAAAGCTCTCTTAGAGCGGGAAGCTAAATCAGTAAATCACTTTTTTCTGTTAAAGTCCACTTTGGTTTAGGTCAGCTGCTTCTCTTATAGATAAGGGTTCCTTCTCATAGTGGTATTGTCGTGATGCGCTCTTAAAGTCTTTGATATGAAATGTGCAAATTTGCCCTTAGCTGTTCAGTAAGTGCCAGAAACTTGCATTATAAGAGAAACAAGAATGAATATTCCATCTAGAAACACATGGCTGTAGTAAGGTGATTCCCTCATTTTCAGAAGTAAAATGGTTACCTATTAGTACTCATGACTTTGTATGCAGAAAATAGTTAATTTTCTAGCTACATGGTGTTGCCACTGTCATTGGCTAAGTCTCCTTTTTTGTTTTCTTAAACCTTTTAAGGATTCATAAAATGTGCAGAACACAGGACAAGGTCTCAAGGCTGCTATAAACTTCCCCCAGTTGTATGGCTTGAGATGACACTTAGTCTACAACCAATCAGAATCTCAAAATATGTTATGCAAAGGCTCAGATGAGCTGCAATTTTTTTTTCCTTATATGATTGCCTTTTAATTTTTGTTGCCAAGGGGACAAACCAAGAAAAAATGGATTTAACAACTGCAAAGTGGCGCATTTTTAAACTGCTGTTAATAACATTTGAACTCTGAATCTAATTTGTACGTAGGATGAATGAATAGTAATAATGTCATTTTAGAAAATAAAGCAACTAAACAAAAATCACACTTTTCCTATCATTCTCTGCTATCTCATGTCCCTGTCATTTTGGGAACTCAAGCTGTGAAAAACAGAACTGTAAATGCCCAGGTAGCTACAGAAACATATGAAGGTAAAGAAAACCAAAGTATTGAACCAATTCTATCTCATAATCCAGTATTGCCTTAACATACACAGACCATCTTGAACATCAGGAAAGTCCACAATGCACATCTGGTTTGTAAATACTACTCAAACAGCAGAAAGGAGATGCTGCAGAGAACAACAGAGATGTTTCTACATCTCCCCATCCCCCTTGGTGTATTTCCATAGGAAAGGCTTGACAAGAGAAACAGGAAGGAAACCAGCAGCAGGAGAAAAACCGTTTAAGGTTTTAAACTTAGACCCACTAGTTTGCATACTATCCCCTGCCCTGCAACATAAAGTGCATCATCATGCTCATGAGGCTATAAGCAGCTTTTCTCCTTCCCTCCTCCAATTCACTCCTATGCATTCTCCTTTTCTGGAACCTAAGGCATGACAATTCACATGATCTTTACCACAAAGGGCTTTCAGACATCTGTGACTGCAAGGTTACTCTCACTGCAGTCATCTTCTGCAGACACTTTTTCTGATGATGTCACTGTCCATTTCACTGTAGTGAAATAAATGGTGAACTTGGATATTGAAATATCCTAAGAAAAGTTAGAGGTGAACAATTTTTTAAAGGATTTATTCAAGCTGGAGAGATCCAAAAGCCTTTCTCCAGATCTGTGTAAGTACCTAGAGGAGGCTACCAGTATTGTTACACCCAATACTCAGCCCCATCCAAGTCTGCTGCCTGGGTCTTCACACTTTGGGACTTACTTTTATGACATTGAATTTACCTAGATGACTCTGTTTTTTTTTCTTAAAATATCTTTGGTCTATCATCAGGTAAATGCTGCTAGAATTCATAAACCATACATTTTTCTATCTGATTTTGGAGACTACCCAGACTTCTCTGATAGAAGATACCTTCCTGAGCAGGTACCACAATGGCATATTTCTTCATTTTTAAGAAACAATTTGGCACTCAGACAAATGAGTCTTGCAAGGGACTTACATTTCTTACAAAAATAACCTATACTATCCTAGCTAACGTTATGCTGAGTTGGGCACAGTCCCTGCATTTGACATCAAGACTGTTTTGTCTCACACTCATCACACATGACATTATTGGCATCTAAAACCAGAAGTCTTTTACCTGACTCTCTCCAGGAATATACTAGTAAATTCCTTGATCAAGAGAGTCCTCAGTCCAAACAGAGGCAAGAATGAAATTTAAATCAGGATCTACTACACTCCAGGTGGACGTTGGCCCACAATACTATTCTATGTATTTGTGGGTGTCTCTACTCCATATCAAAAGGAGAATCTGCCTTTCATGCAGATATGAAACAGCCAGAGAATTTCATGATCCATAAATCTGAAGTAATAGGAAATGCCTCAGTCCAGGCAGAGAGAAAGGTTTGAATATCCTTGTCTATGTTCTTCCTTGCTAAGGCAGTCCTGGGCCAGCATCCTTTTGGAAGACAACAAATGATCTCTTTCCACACCTCAGTACTTCCATCAAGGTCTTGAAAGCCATAGCAAGGCCATAGGCACCTAATATATTTGCAAACTTATATCAAACTAGATTAATCATATTTTCTCTGGATGCAGCTCCAGATTCAGTACCTTCTTCTTAACGAAGGAAAATCCAAATGGTTTCTTACTCCATATAATGCTCTCAACATTGGAACATGTTTATTGGATTTTTTTGTATGACTTTTAAAGAAAATCCTTGAAATAATTTAAACAGGAACATTTATCTTCCAAATAGTCCAAATAGACTTATTTTGCATCTGCAATTTTATTCATTAATGGTACGTTTGTACACAGCTTTGAGAAAACATACCAGTTTTGCCATCTGACCTTCAAACTGCCTCAAGCTTTCATTAAACCATAAACATCAGCATTCTGATAGTGGCATATGTACCAAGTACAGCAGTGACTCATGCCTTACTTAGATGGGTACTTTCCTTACAACACTGGCAAATCATAAGCGATTTTTCAACCTTGATAAGATATTTGAGAAATCCAATTTCCTGTGGGAATAAAGGTGTCTTGCAATCCAGAGATACTGAAGATGCTTGTTAAAACCAGGGAGGAATTGCAAACTCTAGAAATTAAGGAATTTGAACATCTGTTGAAACTCAGTAAGCATTTCTCTAATGACTGAAATAATAAATCTGATAGACATTTGGCATAGAACCTCTAGAGAAACAAAACAAAAAAAGGAGATATATACTTCAAATTAATTTGGCAGATGGCTCAGAAAAGAGTTTCTCAATTTCTCTTCAAACTGTAAATAAATCAGTTGAACACCCTTTTCAGGACTACATTTACCAAGTGTCAGATGAAGAGAAGCACATAATGTAATCAAGTATCCATCACTGCAACGTGCTGAACCAATTAGAAGTTCATAGAGCAGGAAAGGCATCACATCCCTGGTAGTTTCTCTGCAGAGCTGATCTGCAGGGTGCTTCAAGTCCTAATAGGATCACTCCTTGTTGCTACGTAGCAATGCAGATATACCAGCATGTCATGAGGCACTGCCCTGGAGAGACAGACAGCCTAGCTTCAAGTATTCAGAGATGGCTTGGGAACCAGAAATACTAGATGCATATTAGTTCAACACCAAGCCTGCCAGAGTTCAAGAAATATCTGGACAATGCTGTCAGGCATGTAGTGTGACTCTTGAGGATGTCCTGAGCAGGGCTAAGAGCTGGACTTGAGGAGCCTTGTGAGTCACTTCCAACTCAGGATATTCTATGATTCTATGCATCTATGACTGAGCTAATTACCTCTGGGCAATGGAGCATTTTTGGTCCATTTAGGTGGATGCTGTGCTAATGTAATCATCCTGCTCCTGATACCCACGTGGTAGCATCATGTAGGCACACATAACTATGAAATATACACTGCAAGAAGTGAACAATCCATATCACTGGTTTACAATACTTTAAAATATGGGTTATGTTTTTAGTGAAAATTGTTGAAATTCTAGATGTACAATTTAGTTGACTGGTACAACAACAAACATTTTTTGCACAAAAGATGCTGTAATAGCTACTGCACTCTTTGCATATAGGTGACAAACAGTGATTGAGAGACACTGTAGAGCAGAAAATGGGATGAGAAGGGAAAGTAGATAACAAAAGTTTGTTGTGTCTTCCACTGCAAATACTAGGAGATGTGTCATGAAAGTAAAAATCACTACTTCTCTAGACAACTTGTTCTACTGTCTCACCATCCTCGTTGTAAATAATTTATTCCTTGTGCCCAACCAAAACTTAACATCTTTCAGTTTTAAACTGAAACTTATCTTTTCACTACAAGCCCAGTTAACAAGTCTCTTTCTCATCAATCTCACTTTATGTATTGGAAGGCTGCACTAAGAGCCTTCTCTTCTCCTTGATGAACAATTCACTCAGCCTTTCTTCACAGGAGAGGTCTTCCAGCACTTTGATCAATTTTACGGCTCTCCTCTGCATCTAACTGATCTAAAACCTGATGTCTCAGATTACAGAAGAAGATGGGCTGTCTTGCCTAAGATTACCTTCATGGTCACAGCATCAGTGAATTGACAAGTTCATGCTGCAACACTTGTTTTGATTAGTGAAAGTCCTTTAAAGTTGTCAAGTCTACTCTCATAAAGTACGTGGCATATTTTACCATAGGTGGCATATGATGGAAAAATTAGTAATTTAAACATCTAAGTACAATGCCTAATCATACAAAAAGTTTCTAAAAGTATCTGTGGCAACTTACCTCTACTCTCACTTTCATCTGCTTTTACAAAAAGCAAGCTTTATCACAGTATTCTCACTCTGGAAGATAAAGGGTGAGCTCTGGAACTATTTAGGAGTAATAAGGTCTCATTTTCAAATATTCAGGCTTTGTAGTTAGAGCAGCATTTCCAAAATAACTTAAATAAATTCACTATTTGCAGCCCTGAATATCAGATTAGATTTTCCATTACTACAGCCTTATGGATTATTAAATGATATGCAAGGATTATTTTGTATTGAAAAATATAAAAAGAGTGTAATTCCCATAAAATAACACTGTTAAAAATTAGTTTTTAGCTGATATTTGTGAAATACTTAGTTGGATGGCAACAACTAAAAGCTGATTTTCATATTGTTGCTGCTCATAGTAATGATAAATTAGTCTTTTAAATACCTTTTGAAATATTGTTTTTAACACTTTAAAAATAATAACAATTTAATATAAATTAGTCTATATCCCTAATGCCTTGCTACAATGCTACAATGAGAGCGTGCCATGTCAAGATGTTTAGATTGGGCCAACTTGTAATTTTTTTGCAGTTTTAGAAAGCTGCACATCATCTAGGGAACGCATTTAACAAGGTTATTGGTCAGCAGTTTCTCTGAGCAAATACAGTGAATCGTGTATCCTTACAATGACTGAAGCATAAAAGGATTAATCAAATGTGATTATGATGTTTAATTTATAAAGAATATGAGATCTTCACATGTCCAAAATATCTTCATGTCCAAAGCTACTGACAATCAAGGTATCTGTCTGCATTTTCACCTCCCAAATTGAGCATTTAATGACTTACCAAGACTAATGCTTCTGCATCTCAAACTTCATAATTTCTTACCTTTTTGATTAGGTCCAAAACATGATGTTAAAAGTATAAGCACATTTAAGAAGTGTGCTCTAGTCAAGGAACTCTAGTTCCTGACGGTAGGCAAACAGTAAATCAACCATTTCAAGGGTTGCTCTGTTGAACATAGCACAGTCCTATAGTCTGTTATGTTGATATTTTGTGCATGTAGATTTAATGATAAGCATAGACATAAGTCAAGCAACAGCTGCTACAAACCCCCTGCAACTTCATTATTAAGTGAGCTATTTCACTGAATGTTTCAAAGGACCTTTGAAAGAAAAAGCATAAATTAAAATATTATGAAATAAATTTTTAAATCTCTGAGGAACTTATTTCATAGTCTTTTTTTTTTTTTTTTTGCTTCCTGTACTGGCACCATGCCCAGTGTGTCTCCCTCCTCTAGTCAAGATAAAAAATGTTGCTACACAACCAGAGGACTCAACAAAAATCAGAGAGAACATTCCCAACATTGTGACTTTTTTTTTTAAATTTGACTTGAAATCTATCAATGAAATATTATTTTAAAGGCTATATCCTTTTTCTTCCCCAGATTTTGAGGAATAAACATCTAAAATATAGCAAAAGTTGTCTATTAGAAGGTTAGAGACTGATGCTTAAAAAATAGACTGACATATACCCTCCTTTATATGTTGAATAGCTGAGAGCACATTTGCTTGGAAATTTTGTTACATTTTAAAATTCTATTTTGTTTGTCTTTGTTTTGAGGACATAATTTTTGAAGAGCAACAATTCACATGTACTGTTCCCTGCCCATCAGCTTTTTAGCATGTTCATTTTTAATGGAATTCCATTCCATTTCATTATGCACTTGGGCAGCTATAAATTAAAAAACTTCTCCAAGAAGTGTCAAAACAACTTCAGAGATGATTGCAGGAGAGAGTTGGCTATTTTTCTGTCCTTGTGCAGAAGCTGTGGTGCAGCGTGTCTATGCTGTCAGAGTCATAATACAGCAGTTCTGATACCATGCTAGGACTATTTAAACTCTGACCTAGAAAACCTGTGCCTACCATTAAATTCACAATGTATCCCTGTTATGTCATGGCAGTGGCATTTGTCTATAACCAAATTAGCCTGAAGCACCCCCTTTCAGTGAATGACTATGCAGTACCCAAGAAACCCAACCATATTAGATGATATACCAACCAACCAAAATACCAGTCCAAGTACTGAAATTGCATGGTATATTTCATTAAAAATATATATGTTGCTTGTAATTTTTTGTCTCAAATATCATACATAATAGTTAAAATATATATTATTGTACCAGTACCAGTAGATGTCAGTACAATCATTGATCTCAACTACAGTATAGCAGAGTATATTCTTCATATTCACTGCTACAGACAAATGAAATGGACTGATGGAACTTATATCAGGAAACAATTACTGTGACAGTTTTGGAAAATGTTGAGTCTGTACTTGTTGCACTGAATAATTTGTAGCATCATGACTTTGAAGACAGTTTCAGTTCTAAAAATGTCAAAGGTATTTTCTAGGGTTCTTCTTTACTTCTTGAACATCAATTTTAATTTTCCTTTTTTTTTTTTTTTCTCCAAAAACAAATGAAGGTACATTAAAGATCTCAAAGTATTAACAGAAATAGGTATTGGGACTTGGCTTTTTCCAGACAGAACCTAAGATTAGAAATCCATCCAAAAGCACAGCTATAATTTATTAAAGGTAACTCTAGCTTTCTCTGACCCTTGCAGGAAGAGTCTAAAGCTGAGTGAACTCCAACTCATATTTGATTAAGCCTCTATTGCAAAGTTTTCCTCGGACTTTCAAGGGAATAGGGGATTTTAAATAAAACTTGAGATAGAGGAAGACATTCTAGAATTGGTTAGCCTTGGAAGTAAAGAGGAGTTAGGAACGGCGTGATAGTGGCCTTATCAAATGCAGAACTAGACTGTTCTGCATAGGGGCATGGCACACTCCTATTTATCAGCTATGGTTTGGAAAGGTTGTTTCTCTGCAGAATTGTCATACTGCTTCAGCTCCTCTAATTCTTTTTTCAATGTCTTGCTTCTTGGGTTGAAATCCTGACAAATTTCTGTTGTCCAGAAATCCCGCTGAGCTGCAGAATTATCAACATAAGTAGTACCAAAAGCGCTAAAAATCTATATTTAGGATAATATGTCATACTCACCCCACCCATTCTGACAGTCTACAATAGCATACCACACATAAAAATTTGTTTCTTCCTAGGTATACAATGCACACATATTTCATGATACATGACACTGCTGTTTAAAATAGCATGAGTCCTGGATACAAACAAAATCAAATGTCAATACACTGACCACTGAAACCTTAACACATCTTGTTTTTTAATTTCCTTGGACCAAAAAAGGTCAACAGCATCCATCAAAATAAAGAATCAAAAATTAAAAGTACCTTCTCTGTCATCTGCTTTAGCTGCTGCAGACAGATGATCCTTTTCCAAGGCCTCCAAATGCCATGTAGAAAAACTAACTGTCGGTCAGAAAACGTAGATATTATTTCATACAATGTCAAATTTCAGCTTACTTGCATGTCCCTTACATTTTCATTTTACTGTCTACATGCTTATCCTTACCACTCTTCACAGAGATGTTGAAATAAGCCCAAGGAAATGAAAGTCACAATTAAGCCATCTTCCAGGTTCCTGGATGTTGCTGTGTTACTTTCCTGCAAGCACATGGACATTTACATAACCCAGAGATAGAAGAGAAAAGACAGGGAGGAGACCATAGTGGGTGCCTGGGACTACCTGGGACTGCACTGCAGGGCAGTCGGGGCTTTCACATGAAACCTCTGT